TACTTTATTAGAACAATTCAGTATAGTTTTTATTTAAGATAGATTTATTTACAAAATAATATTAAGATATAAGTATATCTATAGATATTTATACTCAAAAAATTCTAATAACTAAAGATTATAGAAAATTAATTCTAAAATCAAAAGAAGAGAAAAAGCTAAGATTTATATAGCTTTACAACTAGTATAAACTATATATACAAAAGATACAAAAAGTATAAAAGAATAAAAAGATAAAAAGTATAAAAGAATATAAAAAATAGTGTTCCTAATGAACATGAGTTCAAAGTTCATGAACATGTTCAGAGTTTAAAATAAAGAAAAATGCATATAATCACAAATATAAAAATACTTATATCTTATAATCTACTAGGCCAATTTTAACATTTTAATTACTCTTTTGTTTCCAAGCCACTTTTCTACAACTTTTCTACAACTTTACTTAGGCATTGAAAAGAGATTTACTTGGTAAAAAAAAACTTTTCTTTGAGAAACTCCAAATTTAAAAATTTTTTATTATAATAAAATTTTTGAATTTCGATTAAAACATTTTTCTTTACTAATTAAGTAAAGTTGTAGAGGATTGTCTTGCAATCAAAAAGATGGTTAAAATATTAAAACCAGCCTAGTAGATTGCGAGATATAAGCATTTTAGTCTTCACAACTATATGCTTTCTTCTTTATTTATATAAAGAGAAATCATATAATAATGAAGACAAAAATACTTATATCTTATGATCTACTGGGCTAATTTTAATAATTTATCTACCATTTGATAGCATAACACTTCTCTACAACTTTTATTAGAAGTTCAAAATAGGTACTTAGTAAAAAAAAAAGATTTGGTTAAAAAACTCCAAATTTAAAAATTTTAAAAACAAAAAAAAATATTTAGTAAATATATTTTTACTGTTTACTATGTTTTGTTACTAAAACCGAACATGTTTATGAACCTTGAACTGAACCTGACTGAACAAAACTTTTAAGTTCAGGTTTAGTTTAGGTTATAAATTCAAAGTTCAGTTTAGGTTCAATAATTTGCAAAATTTGTGGTTTAAGTTCAGATTCAGGTTCATTAAACCTGAACCTAAACTGAACTGAATCTAGGAACCCTAATAACTACTTATATAAAATTATTCAATAAAGAAATAAGCAAGGCCTCACTTTAATATTTATTGTTCTTTTTAATTTACTGCGATCATCAAATTTATAGATCACACATCACTGAAAATCTGAAAATCTAGAAATCGGCAATTTGATAATTATATTTTAATCTTTGAGCAAAGATATCTCAATATTTACCAGACAAAATTTAGTAAATATTTTTATTGCATTTTATGAATTCATAGAATTCAAATAAAAAAAAAGTTCATTAAATTTGGCCTGGTAGTTGTCAAGAAACATTTGCTCAAAGTTAAAAAAAATCTAACAGGATTTTTCTCAAGCTTTTAGTAAATATAACTTGACAACTATCATCTAAATTTTGATAAATTTTTCTTTTTTATATTTGTAGAATTTAGTTTAATATTTGATGAAATATTTTTATTTAAAGTTAAGAAATTTATCACTTTTAATAGATGTTGAATTTTTTAAAACTTTGAGTAAAGATATTTTGGTAACTATCAATCCAAATTTGATAAACATTTTTTATTTAAATCTTACAAATTTATAGAATTTTAAAAAAACTTCATTAAATTTGACTTTGTGGTTTTTGAGATATCTTCATTTAAATTTTGAGAAACTTCTATACAATTTTTTTAAAACTTTGAAAGAAAATATCTTGACAGCCACCAAGTTAAATTTAATAAAGTTTTATTAATTTAAATTTTACTGGTTTGTAAAATTTAAATAAGAAAGGTTTATTAAATTTGATGTGGTGGTTGTCAAAACATCTTTGTTCAAAGTTAAAAAAAAAATTAAAAAATATGATACAAAAAAAGGCTTCAAATTTTTCATATTATTTAGCTTTACAAACAGCTAGCTCTTGTATATTGGTTGATGAAATGCTAAAAAAGTGAAAATAGAAGAGAAATTTTGAAATTTTATTTGTTAGCAAGAAATTTAGATTTATTTGCAAAAATAGCCTTAAATTTGGAATTTTAAAAATTTCCATATAATCATTGATCATTTTATAATTACAGTAAATTGAAAAGAGCGATAAAAAAATTATAATATGCTACGATTAAATGCATAATATAGTAATACAAATATTATATATATATATTTTTTATTTTTTATTTTTTCGACAAGTCTCGTCATAACTTTGATCTCAGCTATTATATAGTTGACTCTAGAACACACGCTATTTAGTATTACAGGATCTTCATAACCCTTTATAGAATTATGTGTATCTACCTGGAATTTTGTTGCCCAACATTCTCCGGTTTCCTCATTAGAGCCTAGATCCGACTGCCTGCATGATACTCCGGAGAGGTCAAATCACCTTATATTAGACCGCTATTTCACGAGCCAATGTGGTACCACCACGAGTTTATGTAGTATTCTCTTAGACTTTGACCTTATATTATGTCTCATAACTTCTGTTATTCCAAATCGGGGTTCTAACACACCTCGTTTCACAGCTACAACTTCTCAGAATAACTATTTTCCAAATATATCTATCCATAGATATCCCGAGTTCTCTGTATCCTGCAGTGTTTTACTTCCATATTTGGGTTTTCATTATTTTGCTGCTGGGAGAAATTGAACTAGCAACCTTCTGATTTGCAACCTGGGAGTATAACTGCTATGCTATTGACTCGCAGGTTAGTACAAATATTATATATATTATAAAGGTGTTACAAATATCATAGTTATAGCATAAAAATTTATTATGATGCAATATCCAAGCTAATCAGACCAAAATTAAAGCTCAGAAAAATATCTAAAATAGGTTAATATAACTAAATCAGTTATATCAACTTATTATAGATATTTTTCCAAGCTTAAATTTGGTTCAATTAGCTTAGATATTATATTATCAACAAATTTTGTGCTATGAATATACTACTCAATGCTACAATACAGATGCACCAAAATATAATATTCTTAAAATAATTGTATACCAATAATTATTCATATCTTATTATAATTTTATCGATGCAACTATATTATTTATTACTTTTAGAAAAATATTTATAAATATCATGTATTAAAGTTTCATATTGATGAAATTCGGGTATATTGTTTGTAGCATCTTTGGCTGCTAAATCAAGATGATGTGAAATACAATGATATTGCAAAATAAAAGGATTTTTATCCTTCATTTGAGTAGCGACACCTTTGTAAATTCCTACAAGTTATATTTATTAAAATTAATTTTATTAAATTATATATTACCATATATATATTATAATATAAAATTAAATTTACTAATCATTGTACTTGCTCTATTCATACAAACATGATATAAATTATTATAAGAAATATTTTTCGCTTGAATAAAACTATTAGAGTCTGTCATTATAGCATCAGATATTTGTTCAGTAAGAGAAATCATGCCAATAAATCAATAAACAGGTTTTCCAAGTTTAAGTGAATATTTAGAAACTATAGCTAAAGTTTTTTCAGTAGATATAGTACTTTTATCTAGCATTATGCTTCAACTTTTAGATACAATTCTTCAAAAGTTGATTGCTCAATTACATGCCTAATTGCTTCAATAAATCTATATATTGGGAAACTAAATATAGTGCAGATCTGCACAGATCCATGATCTTGAAAATTTTTAACAAATTTTACGATATCTTGTGAGCTATCAATCAGAATATAACAAACCTAGTACCATTTGAACTGTCTCAATGAGACAGATCGAATAGTACTAAATTCATTAAAATTTGATCACTGGATTACAAGATAATCATGATTAAGTGAATTTTGCAGCCACCTCACGATCCTTTTATCCAGTGGTCCAAATTCAATGATTTTGGTACCATTCGTTTCCTCTCGATGAGACAATTCAAATGGTACCAAAAATGTTAAAATCAAATCACTAGTTCACAAGATATTCACAGAATACATTTCGCGGTGCAGTTTTGCATAGATCTGCACAAAAAAAATTGCAGATCTGTACAAAATTGTGCTGTGAAATGTATTTGTGAATATCTTGTGAACCAGTAATTCGATTTTAACATTTTTGGTACTATTCGAATCGTCTCATCGAGAGAAATTGAATGGTATCAAAATCATTAAATTTTGACTACTGGATAAAAAGATCGTAGTGATCAAATTTTAATGAATTTAGTACCATCCGATCTATCTCATTGAGACAGTTTGAATGGTATCAGGTTTGTTATATTTTGATTGATAGATCACAAAATATCATGAAATTTGTTAAAATTTCCAAGGTCACAGATCTGTGCAGATTTGTACTATATTTAGTTTCCCAATGTAAGCTAACTTATTGTTTGTATAGCTAGCATATGGCAGTATTATACATAGGATAATTTTGGACAATTTTTGACATTTTTTCAAATTAAAATTACTCAAAATTTTATTAAGATAATCTATTTTAATTTTTTTAACAATAAGTCCAGCACCTAAAAAAATATTTTTTTTTAAATTACTTTATTAATTAGTTAAATATAGGACATAGGATTGGACAATTTTGGACAATCTAGGATGTTGGACATTTTATATAGTGTAGAAACATCCCATGTACAACACTGGCATATGGTACATATAAATTATTATCATTTAAAAGCTAATTATTTGTAAAAAATAAGGTACTAGACCCAATACTAAATTCATCTTGATTATTATTACATTGAATTTTTACTAGTTTGCACAAATCTTCATATACTCTTATTGCTAGATTATGCTTAATTAAAAAATATACATTTTGCATATTTTGTATAATTCGTTGTTTATCTATTCCAGCTTAAATTATAAAAAAATCTCAAATATCTGTTTGAGCTTCCATTGATTGAGCTACAATAACAGATTGATGATCTTTGTTATTAATATGTCAAGTTAAAGATTGTAATTTAAAATAAGTACAGTCAGAAGTAAAGCTGTTTTGTTTGCCTGCTTCTTAACACCCATATTAAAGATTCTTTAGCCAAACATAGTACTTTAAGATTATGAAGATTATTATTATCATATAAAATGTTAGAAATTTCTAATTCATAACTAGAATAGTCTTCAGAACTGCTATCTACAGTTTGCCATTTGTTACTTCCTTTGGCAGTAATACTAAAGAGATTAATAAATAGCGTTTTTTTTAGGATTTTCTTTTTCAGACATAGTTTGTATTAGAGTTGAAATAAAAAAAAGTTAACAAGTCTAATTGTTTTTAAAGACTATAGTAAAAATATTAATATTATTTGCTTTTTTATATAACAATTCAATATCAACCTAACTAGTTAAATTAGAATACAGTAACATAAACAATTGTTCTTAAATTCTCATTCATGCTATTCAAATATTTAATTATTAATAATTATCTAAATTAATTTTTCACTAGAAACTATTATCAATGTTAATTATATATTTAATTACTAATCAGATTTATCATTATTATCCATATACTAGGAATAAAATCATGTCATGCAAATAACAGAGTGTATAGTTACCTGCCATCTAGAATAGCAAGTTAACAAATCTTGCATTTGATTGGGCATTAAAATCTAAGATTTCACATGCTACTATTCCATGCTGGTATCAGGTACTATGAAACAATTAATAAGAACAGAACCAATTTTGTATATATATACATACAATCATTGAGTGTTAGTCTATATACGGCAATGAGAAAAAGATTACAATTAGGATCCTACACTAGCATATCTCTACTTAGCTATCTTTTCGATCTGTTGACTTACTGTGTAAGTCAACTTGAATAAAATACATAGAAATGAGTTTTTGGTCCAACTATTAAGGTAAAAAATCAAAACCAAATCTTGGCCCAATGTCAAAACTGCAAAGAGCTTTTAGAAGTTTCTAGCTTGCCAGTTTGTTTTACTTGCCAAGTAGCTATGGACCTTTGTCACTATAAAAAATAATATTAAGCTAGGAGATCATTGTAAGCAGTTGAGTTTGTGCAGCTTAGTACTGGCCGGTAGTCTTCCACCTGTGTAATGCAGGCCTGCCACTAATTGAATATGTAATATTGATATTCAGCAGTTATAATTAAAGGCCAATTGCATTTTCTATAGCATTCCCATTGCTGTCTTCATTAAGTTAGTGATTACTGCTTGTGGAAAGTTATTCAGATCATATTGATAATCCATAATTTGACTTATTTCATTTGATGGTTTTACAAGGCACATTAATAGCAATTGATATATTGGCACTGGTGTAGTTCTTGTATATAATGTAAGACAGCCGGTGATAATGATATTTAGCAGTTATAATTATGAAGATAGGTTTTTTTTAGGA